GCTGTACCCGCCCCAGACCCCTCATCACAGCACTGTTAAACGGCCTCGCCCCTGCCTTCCTCATTGGCTCCATAGTCCCACATACCTCCCAACCCAGCTCCTCCTCTTTGATTAATTAGTTCTTCTCTTAAAAGACTTAGCAGTTTTTTAAAAAGTATGTGCTCAAAGATAAGCTCCCCTCTTTTTGGGGGGGCGGAAGTGGGGATGGGTGGGAGGATTTACTAGTAGGTTTAAAGAATGTAATTTAAGCTGCTTATTACAGAGGTTTTTTTTTTTTTTAATTCTGCCTCTTTTATTGGACAGTAAATAATAGTTTTAATTTTTTGAAATAGTAGAATTTAACTGCAATGTGTTTTTGTTTTTGTTTCAAATAACGTTAAATTGGCTTGGCCTAGACGTTAATGAATCTCTTGTGATTTGAGGGACTTTCAGGTTTATGATCTTCTTGCAGTTACTGCTCACATCTAGTGGTGAGGGTGACCTTATGGGGGAGGGAAATTTGACAACTACGGGGTTGAGATGATCTTCAGGCTATTGATGCTCTCAGGTCTTACCTTTTTACTTTGAAAGGTAGTATACTGTGGTTAGGAAAAACCAAAATAAACTTGCTAGATTGTGAGATTGAGGAGACAAGAATACATGTGAAAGAGGGAGAGAGAGAGACAACTATATCAATTTCTCTAATTGTCATACTTCCTACTTTGAGACACTTAGACTTTTGTTGGCGTTTGGGTGGGCTTATCAGTGGATAAGAGGAAAATATTTTTTTTTAAACCTCAAAGTTATCTCTAATCATATTTTTATTAGTGTATCACTTTTATTTTACCCTCCCCAATTTTTTTTAACTAGGCGATCTTCATGATTCCTACCAACCCTCCCCCCACATTTCGAAAGCCAGAACTGTGGTCCGATAACTTCATGGATTTTGTGAAGCAGTGTCTTGTAAAGAGCCCTGAGCAGAGAGCCACAGCCACTCAACTCCTACAGGTATGATTCTCCCCGAGGTGCTGCCTCCCTCTTTTTCATTCACATACTGGCCAAAAGATGCTGCCAACCCACCTCCACAGAGACAGTAAAGAAGTATAAGACATTCCCTGCCTCCAGGGAGCTTTGAATCTGAGTAGAAAAGAGTGTTAAAGCATTGACCAAGATAATAATGCAAGAAAATGGAGGGCTATGTGGGATCAGAGACTGGGAACTGCCATTTAGTGAGCCCCTGCTGTGTGCTGGGTGCCATTTAATCATCACAGACGCCCTAGGAGGGATGGCTATTATTTCAGTTTTATAGGTGAAAAAATGGAAGCTTAGAAAGGTTAACTCATTTAGAGTTCCTCAGCTGAAAAACAGCAGAGCTGAGACTAGAACCAAGGTCTTCTTGGGTCCAAAGCAGGAGTGCCCACAAGTCTACCCAGTTCTGATGAGGAACTGAGATTAGTGGTAGGTGCTCTTCTCGCTCATGATGGGAGGAGGCCTCTTTGGGCTGGCAGTACTAGGACCGCTCTCCTGGAGCAGGTAACCTCAGTGCGTGGGCCTGGAAGGATGGGAGGGGTTTGCAGGCGCTCTGCTCAGTAGCTAGGAGGTTGGATTCAGGAGTCACACTGCCCAGGTTTGAATCCTGGGCTCCCTGTTTACTAGCTTTGTGACCTTGGGCAAGTAACATAACCTCTCTGTTGCTTTAGTTTTCTTATCTGTAAAATGGAGACCAAGTATCTGCCTCATATGTTGTTTGAATATTAAGTGATATAATATGTGTAACTTTAAATAATGTTTCACACATATTAAAAGTAGTATGTTGTGGATTTGACAAATACCTGTGGTTGTTACTAGGCTAGGCCAATGGTTTTCAGCCGTGTCAGACCCAGTGCCCCCCCTTTTTAACTGATATGTATATTTGTAATACTCTTACTGCTCTTCCGGATTGAAATTCTTAGATGATAAAATCTGTTTGTGCCCATAATTTAAAAAGAGTATAATGTGATATAATGAAGGCAGAAAGATTTATAAAAAAATGTGTGTCAGTATAGAGATAGGCTCCAGCTTGACTCAACTTGCAGACGTAATGAGATAGTTATATACCTGTACCGAGAACCATAATGAGTTTAGAGTAAGAGCGACAAGAACAGAAACCATTCCATTCAGGCAGTACAGGACAACGAATGGGTGGACACTAGAATAAAAGTGTTGTTAAATAATAACAGACCAGGCTTATTTGTATGTGATAAGAAGAGGGAAATGATCTTAGAGATTTTCCAAGTGGAGAGAAGAGAGAACAAGGAAATAATGATATTCTTGCAAATGAGCTGGGTCTTATTTCTAAGTGTATTGACAGATTCTTTTCTTGCCGGGAGGGGGTATTGATGAAGTTTTATGGAAAAGAAGTCTCTTTTGCAATCCCACTACATGCTGAGGCATACTTCCAATCTCTTGAGTACTTACAAAGACCTTAGAGACCATTTTCTGTGGTGGGTGCTGGGGAATAGAGAACAGGTTGCAAAGAGAAACACTGGGGGGACAATGTCAGAATAAGTTGGGGAGATCCAACAAGAATTTTGATATGTAACTTCCACAGCATGAATTTCCTATTGTACTAGCAACACAAATAACAAAAATGTACAGTGGTGTTCATATTAAAAAATTCAAGCATTTTTTTGTAAATGAAATTCCACGCTATTCCTGTGTTTCAAGTGTCTTTGCTGATTGATATTTGGGTCTACATCTCTTACGTATTTGTGACCAGTTTTAGTATTTCTGCAGTAACTACGCTTTTCACCAAAATCCTTTAAGTCTGTAATTGGAAATGCTAGGGAGCATATTGTATAGGAAGAATGAGCAGGATGAGTAAATTATTCAGTGATACTTAATGTCTTTATGACATTTCAGCCTTACCCTCCAAAATCATCTCCTAAATTACTAGACTTTTTGCTTATCTCTTGAAAAAAATTTGGAGTATTATTTCCTAAAGCGTATACATACTCTGTGACATTTGAAAGATGTGCAAAATGTGCCACAGTCCACTGTTGTGTGGGACCGTCCACACCTTGAAGGCTTGCTGGTGTCCCTGCTTCCCCTCACATTCCATCTGGGTTCTCCAAACACCGTGACAACTATAAGCTGCCGGCATGTTTAGAAAACTTCCTCTAGGGGGTGGTACCACCCTGTTGAGAATCTCTAGATTTGGCAGAGAGGAACAGAGGAGACTTTTGCAGCCAGGCTGAAAAAGATGGGCAAAGCCTGAATGTGCATCTGGTCAGAGTTACAAAGTGAATGTGGTTTCACAACTCTCACCCAAAACAGAGAGAGAAAGATGAGGGTCGTTGATTAAGCAGATGTTATTGAGTACCTGTGGTGTGCCAGGCACTGTGTGGGTACTGGTGCCGTCGAAACTGTCTCCAGTGTTGTCTGCTTTCTCATTTAAGCACCCATTTGTCAAGAGTGCCAAGGGAGTGTCCATACTGCGTGACTTAATTAACGAGGCCATGGATGTGAAGCTGAAACGCCAGGAAGCCCAGCAGCGGGAGGTGGACCAGGATGACGAGGAGAACTCTGTGAGTGGCAGGCCTTGCTGTGGGCCTCAGGCGTTCATGCGTGTTCTGTCGTGATTGCCAGGTCAGGTGACGTGAGTGGGGGTGGCCTGGAGCAATCATGGCCGCCGGCCCCAGGCACTGTTGAGGGCTTGCTGAGGCTGTGCTTGTTCTCACCGTGCTTCCCAAGACACCTTCAAATTTTACTCTTTGGCCCTTCAAATTAACTTTTTTCTCAGGTTTTTTTTTTGTTTTGTTTTGTTTTCCAGAAAAGTGAACGCTCAGGTCTGAGACTTGGTTTTTCATGCCCTTTTGGGGAATCAAGGATTCATACTAAAATGTAGATTTTACACTCACAGACTCCCTCACAAGCCTGAGATTCCAAGGGTGTGCACCTCAGCTCCTTAGATCTATGTGTAAAACTTTTTTAAAAAATATTTATTTGGGGCGCCTGGGTGGCTCATTCGTTAAGCGTCTGCCTTTGGCTCAGGTCATGATCTTGGGGTCCTGGGATCAAGCCCTGCATCGGGCTCCCTGCTCAGCGGGAAGCCTGCTTCACCCTCTCCCACTCCCCCTGCTTGTGTTCCCTCTCTCGCTGTGTCTCTCTGTCAGATAAATAAATAAAATCTTAAAAAATATATATTTAAGTAATCTCTGCCCCCAGCGTGGGGCTCAAACTCACGACTCCGAGATTAAGAGTCACGGACTCCTCTGACTGAGCCGGTCAGGTGCCCCTCTGTTGTAAAACTCTTACGAAGGAGAGAGGAAGGGGAAAGGGAGAGGGTCCTCCCGGGTTAGATATGCTGCTCTGGCCCAGCTGACTTTATGATCTTCTTTGGGTAAGTAAGAGTGCTCTCAGTTCTGAGGGGTGTGGGCCTAGAATCCCAGTCAGCGTCAAATCCAGAAATGCTCTCACCGAGGTGAATAATAGTAATTCTAAAGACTCAAACCTTTTGATCCAGTCAGGCCCGATTTGAGGTTTTGTCCTCTCACAGGAGGAGGATGAGATGGACTCCGGCACGATGGTTCGAGCAGCAGGTGATGAGATGGGCACCGTCCGGGTAGCCAGCACCGTGAGTGATGGAGCCAGCACTATGATCGAGCACGGGGACACGTTGCCGTCACAGCTGGGCACCATGGTGATCAACGCAGAGGACGAGGAAGAGGAAGGGACCATGAAAAGTAAGGCTCTGCTTAAATATACTCTCTCCTCTGACAACCCCTACACATTCCAGAGAAAACAGGCTCTTATGGTCTACACGGGCTCAGGCTGGAGTCATTTTCTGGTTGCGCAGGGGACTGGGGATGCGGGAGGGGAGAGCTGGCCTGAGGTGGCAGAGGCAAGAAAGCGTCAGCAGTGAGGAAGGACCTTCTTTTGAACCAGAACAGCCACCTCTCATCGAATGTTGTCATTTTCTCCTCCTTATATTTGATCCATGGACGCAAGCACGTGTATTGTTTTGATGCATAATTCAGAGTGTGATGAGATTCTAAGCTATTTACTGTAGATACCTTAAGTCTATTTTCTGTTTTCTGATAGTCAATAGTTAGGATGACTGTACAGCTTTGAAAGCCCTATCAAGTCCCTTCTGGTTGAATCCTGCTCATCCTTTTTGGCCTGTGGCCGCGGCCTGACACTGGGGCTCGGCTCCCATCTCAGGCTGCTGTCCTCTCCTCTGATCTTCTGTTGTTTCCCTTCCCTTACTCTGCATCACAGACCAACTCACAGAGGAAAGGAATTTGGGATACAAACGGTAATAATTGAGTTCTGGATGCATGTTTTAGCCTGAGCTTTGCATAGGCTTAAGTCTTCATGTTCTTTTCATTATCTTAACCACCCCCTTTTTAAAGTTTAAAGGTCCTTCCTTTATTTTTTTTTCAAGATTTTATTTATTTATTTGACAGAGAGAGACATAGTGAGAGAGGGAACACAAGCAGGGGGAGTAGGAGATGGAGAAGCAGGCTTCTCGCTGAGTAGGGAGCCCGACGCGGGGCTCGATCCCAGGACCCTGGGACCATGACCTGAGCTGAAGGCAGACGCTTAACGAGTGAGCCACCCAGGCGCCCCTAAAGGTCCTTCCTTTAAAACCAGGGAGCAGCAAACTATGGTTCACAGGCCAAATCCGCCTGCCACCTGGTTTTGGCAATAAAGTTTTATCGGAACATAGCCATGTCCATTCATTTGCATATTGTCTGTGACTGCTTTTGTGCCACAGCGGCAGAGTGAGCGGTTGTGACAGAGACCGTATGGCCCCCAAAGCCTGAAATGTTTGTTCTCTGGTTCTTTACAGACAGAAAAAGTTCTCTAACCCCTGCTCTAGACCCTCTGCTTTGTGATGAATTCATTCCATGAATTTTTCTTCAGGGCTGTATCCCAGGGACTTTGCCAGGTGCAGAAGAAACAGTGCTTGCCGCAGAGGAACCCACTGTCTTGTGTGGCGGACAGACCATTAATTACACTTCAGTGTATGAAACAAGTTCTAAAATAGGGTTAATCTAGGGGCTTGTCAAAGCAGAGTGGAAGAGTATTCAGTCTGGATTGGGGATTACTGAAGAATTCCTGGAGAAAAAGGGAGGAAGGTTGGCAGTGAGTAGGGCGGGTAGAGGTTTCAGCAGAGGGAGCAGCATACGCGGAGTCCCAGCGGCAAGGGAAGGGTAGATCAGTGCAGGGGGCCTGCAACCGGTTTCTTGTGACTGGAGCGAGCAGGTCTGGCTGTGGGCCTCAGGCAGCCCCCTCTGCTTTTCACCTTTCAGGTCTGTGTATTTATAATCAACCCTTTGTTTATGAGGAGAAAAGGTTTTTTTTTTTTTTTCTCTTTGGGGGCCAAGGCTCATCATCTGTGTTTGGATTCTGGTCAGAAGGATACAGGTGGTGGAAGAGTAGTAGTACTGTTGATGGATGTGTAAATTGGTATAACTTTTCTGGAATGCAGTATGCATCAAGAGTTTAAAAGGTCCAGACCTTTGACCCGGTACATTCCACTTGTAGGAATCAGGTCCAAGAAAATAATCGAAGATCGAGACAAATTATATTCAAGAATTTTTCCAAACATGTTACTTATAATTGTAAAAAAAAATAAATCTGGATTAATTTAAATGTTTAGTAGCAGATGGTTGATCTAATAAATTATGATACATCCATAAGAGGGACTATTATACCATATAAAAATATTAAAAGTCCTGTTTTGGGGGAATACTTAGTGAGTTAGGGAAATATTTATGATACGTTGTTAAGTGAAAAAAGAAGGAAGCAAAATTATAGTGTGACTCTGGTTTTATTAAAGAAGATAAATTAACATATGTTAATGTGTACATAGAAAAAAGACTGAAAAAAAAAACCCCAAAAAGGCTGGAGGTAAATAAATCAGTTATTAAAAGTAGTTATTGGTAGTAGGATTATATATTTTTTGTTTTATTTTTTAAAGATTTTATTTATTAACTTCACAGAGAGCATGCAAGCATGAGGGGGGCCCTAAAATGGATATTTATAAGAGTTTATAAAAACATTGTCACCCTGTTAGTCCCTTCAAATTCTTATCTCATTCATTGTTCTTAGGTATGTTTCATCCCCTACACTCCAGATTGGAGCACCCTAGGGTGTTATGTAAATTATCAAGTGAATGCTATGTACTAAATGTTTTTTTATTTTTAAGTAGCCAGTGTGATTTGTTAGGAAGGTTTGTTTTGCAGTAAGGAGAGGTGCTGACCTCTGTCTTTTCATTGACTCTGAGTGCTTTATCTTCTACTAGTTTTAAGGGCTTTAATCATACGATTGTAAGTACTGCATAGTGTAAAGAGGCCAGCCCATTAACATCTGTTGTGCATGCTCATGTTATGGAAAATCTGCCCTTTTTTTATTTAAAGAATTAATTTTGTTGCAAATGTAATTTTCCAAATGTATTTAAAGTGCTAATTAATTCAGTGGGTTGTTCAGTTTCTGAGCTTGGATAGTTTAACGTGTCTAATGAGAAACATGCATCTTTTATTATAGTCATGATGAAAAACTGTTTTAAAACCTCAGCAATCACAGCTGAGTGACATTAAATAAACTCAGTTCACCAATCATCTACTAGAGGTCTGGTAATTCAGTTTTTGGGCCACAGGTTTGACAGATTTCCCACTTATTTTGAGATCTTTACCACTTACTGTTTTAGATGTTATTTAAATTTTTCATCATGTCATTTAAAATGGATGTAACTGCACAGAATAATATCATGAGTGACCCCAGTGGACCTGTCACCCAGTTTCAAACCTAATTAAATCACTGCCCATCATATTTTAGCCTCCCCCAAAGAAAATAAACTCAATTAATTTAAAGCAAATCTCAGACATCATACCATTTCTTCAGAATTAGTTTTTTTGTTTGTTTGTTTTTTGTTTTTTTAAAGATTCTATTTATTTATTTGACAGGGAGAAACAGCAAGAGAGGGAACACAAGCAGGGGGAGTGGGAGAGGGAGAAGCAAGCTTCCCGCCAAGCAGGGAGCCCGACGCGGGGCTTGATCCTAGGACTCTGGGATCATGACCTGAGCCTAAGGCAGACACTTAGCGACTGAGCCACCCAGGCGCCCTATTTCTTCAGAATTAGTTTTAAACATTTAAAAGAGACTGTTTGGCCAAGTCTGGCTCAGCTGCTAGTTCTCCGTGTTGTCTTGGAGAGGTCACTTTCCTTGTACGAGCCTCCATGCCTTAATCAGTAAAATTAAAGAATTATTAAACTGATGTACTTTCCTTTTCCCCTACAGCTCAAGTAGTTCACACGTCTATAAAGATTGTATAACTCATGACTAATAGAGAACTGAAGTTTCTAGAAGTTGAAACTTGTGAAAATAAATAGGCTTTCATCTAGTGTCTTCTTTGACCTTCTGTGAAATGTTTAATCCTCGAAAATTAAAATTATAACTGTTACCCTCAATAAACTCAACAAAAAAGACCTATCCCTATAGTTGTTTGCATTAGTTTCAGAGAACCTAATTTTAGTTTCTAATTTTAAAGAAACTGTAATAAGAATATTGACTCACATACTTAATTTGTGTAGGACATCTGGGTCAGAAACTTTTCTGAAATTTTTGATAATGCTTTCTGATGACTGAGTATATTTTACAGATCTTTTTAAAAGTTTATTTCTTGTCTTTGAAAAGTTATATATTTCATTTGCTCTTTATTAAAAATTATTATACCAACAGTATTGTAGCCATATGAATGCACTGTTAAAAAAAAGGAAGTAGTTTACCCTCTCACTCCAATAAAGAATGCCTGTTTTTGACCATGTGCCTGTATGGCTCCTGTACAGTAATAATTTGCCTAGATATTCTGTTTTCTGATTATTTTCCACTTAATAGGTGTATGCATTTTCCATGTTGCTGCAAAGTCCGTTTTTATATTTGTCACACTTAACAGTGTATTTTAATCGTTTATCTGTTGCTAGACATTTTGGTTGTTCCTAATTTTTCACTATTATAAATAAATTTGCAGGGAACAGCTTACATATAAATGTTGCTTCTTTTTAGTATTTCTTAGGAAAAGTTTTCAGAAGTATTTGAATAGTTTCATGTGTATTTGTCATATTGTGCTTATCCTCCGAAGTTTGTACCACTTTACATTCCACGAGGGTAATAGCAGCTATCAGAGCCCTTGATTTCTTCCTTATATCCATCTCTCCTTTTTATTTCCCATGTTTTAAATCTCTGTGCCACTTTCTAGGTGTTTTCTCTGTATTTATCTTCTATCATTCATTTTTTAGCCATATCAAATCAATGATTTGACCCAGACACTGAGTTTATTTCTTTTTTCTTAAGATTTTATTTATTTATTTATTTAAGAGAGAGAGAAGGAAAGATAGAGAGTACAAGCCGAGAGAAGAGGGAGAAGCAGGGTCCCAGCTGAGCAAGGAACCCGACGTGGGGCTCCATCCCAGGACCCTGGGATCATGACCTAAGCTGAAGGCAGATGCTTAACAACCGAGCCACTCAGGCGCCCCAGACACTGAATTTATTTCTGTGGATACATTTTTTGCTTCCTAGTTTGTTTGTTTTTTAAGATTTTATTTATTTGTGAGAGAGAGTGAGCGAGTGCACATGCAAGCATGAGCAGAGGAGAGGCAGAGGGAGAAGCGGACTCCCCACTGAGCAGTCAGTTAAGCTGAAGGCAGACGCTTAGCTGACTGAGCCACCCAGGTGCCCT